GACCCCGAAAGAGGCTCGTTAAAAATTTTGCAGATTCAAGGAATTTTCTCTTTTTTTCGCACTTCATAGCCGACTCTCCCGTTTCGTAAATTTTAGGAAATCCTTGGCCCAGATCGTAGAGCGTGCTCTAATCAAATCGGCCTAATCCTCTTTATGAGCTTCCTTCGATGTGCACGATCGCATTTTTTTCAAAAGAGATTTCCGCGATTTCGTCGGTCGTCGCGTCACCGTCACCACTACCGCCGCGTCGTCGTCTCCTCCACTTCCGGCACAATGGCAGATTACGTGGCTCTCATTCTTTGCTAATGAATTTTATATCCGGTCGCTCGCAAAATGCGGTAATCCGCTTAAGGCACAGTGCGGTAGCTACAGCCCTTTTCCCCCGCCTCGTACCGTACTTCAACCCCTCGTCAATGGCGCCCGCGAACTCGACAAAAGGTGCCGTACAACACGAAAAGGCAACCTCAACTAACTTGTTGTTGTCGACTGAAGGAGTTGTTCACTTTTATTTTGTCGACGAGTAATTAAACACGGTGAATGCAAAGAATTTTATGATCATTTGAAGCATACCTTTTTATATATACCTAGGTATAGATAATTATTAAGTGGAGACCTAAATCGCTCCAAAAATTTTTTTATCGATTTCCCGTCACTACTTAATAGAATTAGATATTAGAAAGTGAGGGAGACAGTTTTTTAAATGAATGTTCTTTACGTACGGTACGGTAAGTTCGTTTCATGCGAGTTGCTATGTAACGAAATCATGCAACGCATTTCCCCCGCTGTCTGTCCCTATGTATGCTTAGATCTTTAAAACTACGCAACGGATTTTAATGTTTTTTTTTTTTAATAGATGAAGTAATTTAAGAGGAAGGTTTATATGTATAATACATGCATAATATAGTGGAGAAACACTGATAATTGTAGAGGTTTGTAATGTGATGTCGTAAATAAACACATTTTTTTGCGCTTACATTGCAAACGCTGGCTGAGCCCCACGAGATAGATCAAAATAATATACTACAGTACTGTACACCTTAAAAAGGCCTACAAAAAAGTCCGCGATGGTATATGTCTATCTCTTAGGGATAACCCCCAATAACCATTTTTTATCCTTTACTTTTTACGAGAAATAATGGCTTATTTACGAAGCGATTTTAAGCAATACAGCATTAATCCTTATCCAATTAAGTACTTTTAAATACATTGTGCATTTAATATAGATCAATANTTCTAAAATCGCTCCAACAATTTTTTCATCGATTTCTAGTCATTCTACATAATAGAATTAGATGTTAGAAGGTGGGATAGACAGTTTTTTATGACTTTGATTTTTGATTGATTGATTGATTTTTTGAATGAATTTTTTAAAATTCAAAACACAGTTCTAAGCTGTAGGTACGAGAAGAGCTGGGTGAGGAAATCAGGGGCGAAATGCGGGGGTGGGTGTTAAAAGTTAAACAAGCTTTTAATCTCCTTATCTCACGATTGTCACTGCATAAAATTCTTTTATTAATATTAAATATACCCTATGATGTATGCTGTAATAAAAAAAAAAAAAAATGTGTCTTCCCCGCCTCAAGTATATTCATTGAACCCTCAGAAATGACCAGAAATTGATGGAAAAATTGGAGCCCCAATTCTAGGAATTGTATGAAATTCCGATATTGTACTAGAAAATGAATAAAACTAATGCAGGGACGTTTCATAAATCTACCTAACCAAACAATGATGTCACCAATGCAGGTAATTATTCAGAATTGGGGCAATTTTGAAAAATTATCAATTAATAAATTTTTCTTTGTTTATGAAGTCATAAAAAACTGTCTCCCCCACCTTCTATCTAAATCTAAAATCTAATTCTATTAAGTAGAATGCCTGGAAATCGATGAAAAAATTTGTTGAAGCGATATTGGTCTGGAGCCCCAATTCTGGACAATTACCTAGGCAAATAATACGTGCTATTGTAGTGGCATGTATTCAATTCAATTAATTTAAATCCCGTTAGTCAGGATTTGCAGATTCGACTAAAAATTGCGGCAACCGGGACGTTTTACGGCTGCCATTTTGATTTTAAAGATACAAAGCCTAACCTATAACCATCGGACGGTTTAGAAAAATCATTATCTAAAATTCATCCAGCCGTTTGAATGTTTCGGTCATGTTCGGCGCGTTAAATTCCATCCAAGCGAAGTAGATTAGTACATTTCGCCATAACATAAGATTATTTAACTATGAATACTAATAAGAAATAACGATTACAGGTACCTACTTGAAATTATTAGTAGTCGTCGCCTTTTGCAATATTGTGATCACGATTAGTTTATAATTTAGTCGTTTACCTTTTGTTTCTGTTGAAGTTTAGTGTCATTCAACATGACGAATTAAGTTTAGAAGAAGTTAATTTGTTCTTAATTAAGATAAAAGTGATTTATTTTGTTTTGTTTATTACTTAAATATTAAGTTCCTACACCTATTGTGACATTAGGTATCAATAACAAAAGTAATTTTATGTTTAATATTATATAAAAAAAGCATGAATAATCTTCAAAAGAAAAATGAGCCTAGTCTACTATACTTACTCAAATAAACATCTCACCTATTTTAAGTATTTTTAAGGCGCAATTAAAGTATTTCGTTAAATGAGGGGTTGTTATGTTGATTTTGATTTGATTATCAATAACTGAAAATGTCAAAGACTGCAGAGTTATGTGATTTAAAGATAAAAAAATAAAACTGACTGATTATAATAACGTTTTCTTTATTTTTCTCTCAAAACATGATCTTTATAAGGAAGTTTCGGTTTCGGTTTCGGTTTCGGCCGAAACTGAGACTGTTGCCGAAATTCGGTTTCTGTTTCGGTTTCGGTCGTAAAAACCAGTTTCGGTCGGACACTAGTTACAGTCAAAAACATACCCAATCTTCTCTTGTGTTATCACACAATCGGGAAGAAATATGTTTCTTTCTGATATTTAGAAATTAAAATTAGGAAAAGGCCTTTAAAACCTCATTTAAGATTTTACACGAAAAAAGTATTAACGATTTTGGATTTCCTAATTTTGTATTGCTTACAGGCTCTTTTAATATTATCTTCGATGTTTGGGTTGTGGAACATATTTAATAATGAAATATAAACAAACAATTCGGATTTTGTGAAAGCATTCCACTGTTTGTTTATATTTCATTATTGCTGGGAGGGTCAGTGGAATTTATAATACGAAATCCTTGGCGCTCGAGTCGGATTTCCACTTTCCACTAGGTCGTTTTTCTTTTAGAAATTCTTAATCTATAGAGAAAGAAAAGTGTATAATAAACATCAAAATAAATTAAGTAAATTAAACATAAACGCAATCACAGTTTACAAATTGAATCTAAGCAACTGCTTGTAAATAATAAAGATACAAAAATGGTATCAATTATTAAAATTGCGGGTTTATTTACATTGTTCAAACTGATTCAGCTAAAAAATATGGGATAAGTGATTATATGGAGTAAATTTTACAGAAAGGCAGTATTCCATGTAGAAAATACGACAGGCTCAAATCTAGACTCATAGTGTTTTGTTAATATTGGACTAATGTACCAGTACTGAGCAGCCAAGTGTAAGTTTGTTAATACTGGACTAATGTTTGGTCGATCTTCAAGTGTCAAGGATTGGCTGTGGACCAACCTTACCGACCAGGCTTGGTTTGAAGTCACAAAGTCAGGCACTTTCCATGCTTGATTCAATATTGGAATATCTTGGGCCAATCTTTGACCACGCTTAGTCTTGCTTTGATTTGCTACATAGAATTACAGATTCTACTATCCACTGTATTTCAAATAAAATAATTCGAAGTCGACCCTGATCTTTTGCATACCTAAGTAAGCTCTAACCACTATTATTCGGTTATCTTTTTTCACTTTGTCTGTAGTCCTCATGAAGCATTTCCTAACTCAAAACGCAGCAGATGACTATAGTCCCAAGTGGAAACAAGAAAGAAGATACGTCCATTTTCACAGACAATTTATTGTGCACTTTCCCAATTTCAATCATCCCAACTATACATTTCGCAATAAATTGAGGAAGAGCGATGGCATTCTCTCATAAGCTAAAAAAATGCGAAAATTAGGGGATTTTTAAGAGGTAACTTAGTACCAATGTCAAAAGTTCGTATTGTTTACAAATTTCCTTTCTCCTTTTTTAGTTTTATGGTTAGCGTAAGTTGGCCTGTCCAACTAGTCAACCTAACCTACAAAGGTACAAAATAATTCGAAGTGGCCTGTATTCTGTCGAAACTGCCAGACGCGGATCGCGATTTTGATCTTTTTGGATCTCATCAGCGCGTCGCAGGCAGCTCCGACAGAACACAGACCAACCTTTACCTGCTGCCTTAACAGCGCGTTTTAGAAAATACTACAAATGGCGTGGTGAGCGCCATCTGTAGTACGATGCCACATTTGAGGATTACATATGCTCCAACAAGGTCCATTTAAGTAGATATCCATATTTTTAAATGGACCTAGTTGGAGCATATGTAATCCTCAAATGTGGCATCGTACTACAGATGGCGCTCACCACGCCATTTGTAGTATTTTCCCTACAAAGGTAGTCCCCACGTGACTCCCGGCACTAATAAGTTATAATTTAAAAAAGTAATCAATACCGTCATTGTTCTAAAACTGAACATTATTCATACACCACACAGCACTAAAAAGACATGTATATTAAGTTGACCTTACTTAAAAGCATTTAAAAGTGGATTTGTGTTTATTATCTTAAAAATACTAGGCCGAAATTTTCCCGGAATTCTGTCATAAGGGAATAATTATAATAACTTAAATATATGTGTAGGAAGGTATATATTTGATTTGAAAAGTTAATATTGTATGTATTACAGAGATGAGCTTACTTAATGTTGGTATTAGCTGCGGCTAGGGGTCAGCATAGTTGTATTAGAGTTAAGCCGGAAATTTAATGCCCACTCCGACTGTTTCTAACAAACTCGTTTTAATTTCAGGCAATCCGGACATATTAATTTGCGGTAACTGCAGAGAAATGTTCACGGAACTTCAGGAACTCCTGGAACACAAGAAAACTTACTGCAAATTACGCTTCACTTGCAAGTGCGACGCGTATAATGGCGACAAAAGTAAGTGAATAACTGTTTTAAATCAATTATTATTGCTATCCTTTCACCTATTCGAACGTAGCCTCTAATAGAAGCTGCGCTACTTAAGCATGTTTGGGAGGTATGTCAAAATGCTACGAGGCGAATAAAAATTTAGAAGAACGTTCCTCATTCAATTCTAAAACTCTTGTAAAAATTACAGATCGATTCAGTAAACCGTTGAAAAGTTATTGAAATTTTAAAAAATTGTAATTTTACACGTCATTTTATGGAGATTCGTTAACCGAACAGATTAAATTTATTTTTATTAACAGAAAAAAAGCTGCCAGAAATTTCAAACTTTTATATTAAGTAACTTCAACTCTGGAGAATCACTTTAGAGTAAGGTTATTCAAATTCACTAAACGGTTATCGAGGAAAAAATGAAAAATTAGCTGAAAATCTCGT